GTGATTATCTTACTTTATTACAATAAAGATAGTGATTATCTTACTTTATAACAATAAAGATAGTGATTATCTTACTTTATAACAATAAAGATAGTGATTATCTTACTTTATAACAATAAAGATAGTGATTATCTTACTTTATAACAATAAAGATAGTGATTATCTTACTGTATCACAATGAAGATAGTGAGTTTCTTACTTTATCTCAACATGAACAGTGATTATCTTACTTGAATACGTTAGAGATAGTGCTTATCCTACTTCATCACTATGAAGATAATTATTATCTTAATTTAACACAATATAGCCATTATCTTATTTTATTACAATAAAGATAATGATAATCTTACTGTATTACAATAAAAACAGAGATTATCTTAATTATACACAATAAGATAGTGATTATCTCACTTTATATTCGTGAAAATGGTGATTATCTTATTAATTACAATAAAGATAATAACTATCTTAATTATTACCACGAAAATAGTGATTATCTTACGTCGTTACAAAGATTATCATGTTCATGCTAGCTGCTACCTCAAGATGGCAATTACGTTATCGCAATGAAGATAATGATAATCTCAGTTGGCCATCATGAAGATAGTGATTATCTTAATTTGTTACATCAGCATCACTAGTTTCTAATAGTTGATAACCGATGACAGTATTTTATTATCTTAATATTGTCTTTCTTATGTATATCATACGTCATTAAAGTAATTATCTTTATTTATTTACATGAAGATAATATTTATAATTATTTACAGCCATTAAGATAGTAGTTGTTACACCAATTTATCTTTAAGATTAGCAATTATCCTACTATATCACCATTAAGATAATAATGACTCACCATTAAGATAATAATGACTCACCATTAAGATAATGACGACTCACCATTAAGATAATAATGACTCATCATTAAGATAATAATAACTCACTATTTAGATATTATTGACTCGCCATTAAGATAATGACTCACAATTAAGATAATGACTCACCATTAAGATAATGACTCACCATTAAGATAATAATAACTCCCCATTAAGATGATGACACACCATTAAGATAATGACTTGCCACTAAGATAATAATGTCTCACCATTAAGATAATATCTTACCATTAGTGGCAGCGGACGCGAGATTCGCTAGCAGCAACACGGTGACAAGCGAAGTAAATGTCCAATACATTATCTTAGCTGAGATTAAAGTGAGGCTGGTATGTCCTGAATTATCTTAGCTGAGATTAAAGTAAGGCTGGTATGTCCTGAATTATCTTAGCTGAGATTAAAGTAAGGCTGGTATGTCCTGAAT